GCGCCCTTGCAGTTGCGACGACGCGCTACCTCCTCCCGCAGGGCCGCGTATTCGTCTGACGCCAGCTCCACCGCCGGCCGAGGCGCCACAACGCTGAGGCCGAAGGACCGCAGCGCCGCCATGCTGCTCGCGGGGTCGACACAAAGACCCGCACCCGAGGCCGCCCCACGGCGGGTAAGGGCAAAGAACTTTAGCGCCTCACAGGGCCCGTAGTCGACGAGGTGCCCGGACTCCCGCAGGACGGCAGCAAAGCACGCGGTGTACCCTGCGGCGCTCAAGTAGTCATGTAGGGCAGCGGCCCCTCCCGCTGGCAGCGCACGCAACGTGTCCCGCCAGACGCAGAGCACGCGCCTGGGCACCGCGGCGCGCCACGAGTCGCCCGCGCCCCCGCCGTAGAGGGCGACGTCCTCCCCCGGCACGCCGAAGCGCACCAGCATGTGCACGTCGCCGGCGCCCACCAGCCAATAGCGCTCGCCGCCGCGCGCAAAGGCAGCCACGTGGCCGCCCTCCCCATCGATTGCCTCAAGCGCCACTGCCGCAACAGGCGCCTCGCGAGCCACGCCGTACGACGGGTCGAACTCACCGAACTTCCGAAGCCCCTCAAGAGCCGCCACCAGCTGCGGCGGTCCCCGCTGTGCGGGCTCCGCGGCGAAGACGCGTGCCTGGCCGCGAGGGACGTGCTCCCACACCTTGCGGCTCGCACGGTACACCGCGTCGTCGCGGCCAACGACCGCGCGTTCCACCACAATGAAGTCGACCCCAGCGAGCGTGCGGCGCGTGGCCCGCACACGCACTCTATCGTTGTGCGGGAACGCCGCGGGAAACGCGGACTGAATGCACCGCGTCTCCACCGCGGCACTGGCCCGAGCGTCGTCCTCGGCGGCGGCGGCGGCGGCGGCGGCAGAAGCACCTGCAACTCCGCCTGTGTGTCCGCTGCCGCCAACGCCGCTCCCGCGACGTTGTGCCGCGCCCCGCCTCCCCCGAAAAGGGCTGCGGCCTCCACGCCCACAGCGCGTGTCGCAGCGGGGCGGCCCCGACCCCGCGCAGCCCAACAGCCCCCTATCCATCATCGGTGTGGACTAACTACGGTGCAGATGCGCGGGGAGGCGAAATCCGCCGTCGCCGCAGCGTCCGGCAGAGGCAGAAGCAAAGAAACAGGAGGAGTGGGAGACACGGCACACGCCACGCTGCCCCCATAAAATTCCATTACTAGTATCAATCTTCTTTCTTTCTTTCTTTCCCCCACACGCCTCACGGCCAGCCGCACCGCTCGCTTTACCAGCACGCAGCCTCCCGCCTCGTCGCCCTCTTTTGCCTTTTGCCGGCGTTCACAGCAGAATGTTGCGGATGCCGGTGAAGTGCTCCACGTCTGCATCCGTGACGCTCGCCCGCCGCGCCTGCCACTCACGCATGACGTGCCGCACGATGACGTCCGCGGCGAGGTCCTTCACCGCGGCGCTGTGCATCTCGCCCTTGCCATACCTCGACGCCACCTCCGCGACGAGCCCGTCGTCGGGGCAGAAAAACCGAATGAATTGGTACGCCACATCTGCGTCCAGGTTGACGCCGTGCGCACGCATGTCCTGCAACGTGCCGCCCCCGCCAGAGAAGGCCCTGCGCATCTTCCGGCGCACCTCCTGCTCTGTGTCGTGGAGTGTGATGACGCCGTTCGCCTCCGCGCTGCTGCTCATCTTGAACTGCAGCCCCTTCAGCGCGGGGAGAAACTTCGTGTGCAGCAGCGCGGGGGCGCGGCACCTCAAGCGCGGCGCCACGTTGCGTGTCAGGAGGAAAAACGGGTCCTGGTCGATTGCGCAAGGAATGATGCACTGCAGCGGGGGCTCCCCGGCTGGCTGCTGCAGCACCCGTGGGAAGGCGCTGCTAAAACACGGCGCGGCCTGCACCGCCGGAAAGGCGGCCTTTCCCACGTTGTCGCCGTCCCTCAGGCCGAACGTATTCTTCACGGCACTCAGCGTCAACATGCGCTGCACCCGCACAACGGTTGGGTACATGTCTCCCATGTACGCCGTGTTGCAGAATATAAACGTCTTGCGCGGGTCGAAGCCAAAGGCGATGATGTCCTTTATGTTCTCCACCGCCAACTCGCTCGCCCGCTCCCCGCCGACGGGGATGTCGCGGAAGAAGTACTTCTCATCATCAGTGATCTGAACCACCAGCGGAAGACCAAGCGCATCCTGCAGGTAGCGCGTCAGGAGAAACGGTATGACGTGGCCGATGTGCATCGCCCGCGCGCTCGGCCCACGGCCGGTGTACAAGTACGCGCGGTGCGCCCCCGCCGTGAAGGACGCGCGCACGCACTCGAGGGCACCCCCGAAGTCCCTGTGGGAGAAGACAACGCCGCGGCGGAAAAAATGGTGCAGTGCCTTTGGCTCCCCCGCTCCTTCCCCCGCGGCGTTGGCTGCCCGCGCGCGGCCCTCCCTCGCGTCGCACGTTTCCTGCAGCAGCTGCAGCAGGGACGCATCAACGGGCTGCGACTTGAACCGCGTGAGGACGCGGCCGTAGTCGACGCCCCTCGGCCCGGTGGCGGTCACGCTCCACGGCGTCACTACATCCTCCTCGCCGCCTGCGTTGCCGGGGGCCTCCGCCCGCGTCGCGGCCCAGCGCCGCGAGGCAACAAACAGCGGGGCGGCAGCGCGCGGGACGCGGCGCATCGCAGACGCCTCCAACTAACTCCCTCCTGCGCGCGCCACTCCGACGCACCGATCGCAAACAACAAAACAGAGGGAGCGAGAGGGCGAGAAGGCAACACGAGCAAAAAACAGACGCCGCTGGGTCCCCCATGGGACAGGGGAAGCGAAGCAGCAACAGGCGCCGCGCCCCCCTCCCCCCCCCCCCGTTCCCGCGGGGAAGCCACGGACGCACTGCGCTCTCCGTGCAGCGAGGAGCTGTTGCACACACGCACATCTGCCGTGCACGCACACAAAATGAAATGGGGAAATGGCGCGGGGGCGGCGCGTGAGGCCAGCCGGCGGCGGAGATCATTGCGCCACGGCAGGCATGTAGCCAACCAGCGTTGTGCCGCAGGACGCGGAGAGGCTTAGCACAACCGCCCGCCCCTCCACAAGGTGCAGCACCACCTGGACGGGCGTCACCTCCTTGATCCCAAGAAGCCGCGCAAAGCGTTTCACCTCCACCGTCACCGAGGCCTGCACCATCGCCGCGTCGTCGCGGCCGTCAGGGCCACCGCCGCCGCTGTTGTCGTCCTCCTCGTCGCCGTCGCCCCCGCGCTCGCACAGCCGCGCGGAGTTGTATTTTAGCGCGAAGCTGGCGAGAAAGCATTCGGCCACAACCACGAGAGTGCAGGAGGCGGCAGCGGCGCCGTCCGCCCGTTGGTTGCCCCGCGCCGTGAGCGTCATGCGCTCGCACGAGGTGGAGCGGACCTTCTCGACGAACATCGATAGCTCCGTCAGGCTCGGCAGAACGAGTTGCACGACGTCGCTCTCGAGCGGCGCGGCGCTGATGCTCCGCACCTCCGACTCGCTCAGCACCCGCACCGGCACGTCGTAGCTGATGTCAAGATGTGGGCGGGCGCCCTGCATCGAGACACGCAGTGCCGGCCGCCTCGCCGCATTTTTCGTCAGTTTGATGGTGACATTTGGGCAGCGCTCCGCCTGGCGCATGACGTGCAGCAGCTGCGAGAGATCCGCCACCTCGCAGAAGATGGCGCTCTCCGGCTGCTGCGACTGGGACTGGAACTCGCCGAAGATCGCCTGCGTGCGGCAGCTGGCCCACACCTGCACGTCGTCCGCAGCCTGCGTGCCCGTGAAGAGGCGGACGCGCGAGGGGTGCAGTTTGACCACGCACCGCCGCTGGACGCTGCGGACCGCCTGACACACGCCGGCGAAGGCGCGCTGGTCACGCACGGTGGCCTTGAACTTCATCACCCACCTGCCGGGGTCCAGCCCGCACAGAGCGGCGTCAGTGCGCACACGCCGGGGAGGAGCGGCGGGAGGAGTGAAAGAACGCCGCCAGAAGCAAAGAAAAAAAAAAATCGCGGTGGCGAAGGCAGCCGACAACATCTGCGGAGAAGGCACGCGCCCCTCCCCAACAGCGGTCGTCCGCAGCAGCCGCGGGGCGCAGGGCGGGGGGAGGGGCGCTGCTCACATTGCGGCCCGGCGGCGACAGGGGCGCCAGACGCCGGAGGGAAGAGGAACGAGGAAGCGAAAAACCAAAACGGGAAGGGAAGGGGGCGCCAGTGGGGCGGGAAGAGCCGCTTGTAGGCTCCCCCACACCCACAAAGAGGGAGGAAAAAAGGAAAAATAGAAGAAGAAAAAAGCTTGCGAGATCACTAGAGGCGGCCGCGAGCCTCTCCCTCACATGTACATCGCGGGGGCTCGAAGGTTCCTCGCCTCTTTGCCTCGTCGTCCGCTCCGCCCTGCGGAAGTCACGGAACGAGGCCCGGCGGGTTGGACGCCGCTGCCCCGGCCGCCACGGCAGATGACACGCGGCGCAACCTCCCCCCTGCCGTCCTTCGCGGCGCATCCGCACTTGCGGTTTGCGTGCTCATCAGGTCCTTCAGCATCGTTGCCAGCACCCCCTCAATCGTGCGCCGCTGCACGCCGCCGCCAAATTCCTCCTCCTCCTCCTCGTCGTCGTAGTCGGTGCGCTGCATGACCTGGTAGCTCGCCAGCAGCTCCAGTGCGAGGTTTGGCGTGTAGCCAACCTCACACAGGGAGCCACACTCCTCGCATATCAGCTCGCCCTGCTCCGTGAACATGGAGGGCAGGCACTGCTGGCAGAAGGTGTGACCGCACGGCCAGAGCGTGCGCGGGCTCTCAAATATGTAGAAGCAATGCTTGCACGTTGTCTCCAGCTCAAGGGAGGCGTGGAACCCCATAACATTCCCAACCGCAATGATCGTGAGCTTTATCGCGCTGAACAGCCCACGCGCATGGAAGTAAAGGTCCTCCATCTCCTCCTCCAGCCGCCGGAGCTCCTCGTCCACGTAGCCGAGGTCCTCCGGGGTGCACTGGCAGCCGACGTCGCGGCCCGGGCGTCGGCCGCGCGTCAGCGCAAAGCTATCAAGGAATGCCTGCACGGCGGCGGCGTAGTCCTCCCTCATGCCGGCGCTCCCCACCAGGTGTCGCTGGTCGAGGCGGTGGGTCTTGGCGTACTCGTTCACCTCCCGCGTGAGCCTCAGGGCAAAGGCGTCGCGGTCCTCACCGGGGACGGGCCGCGACAGATTGGCGACGTCCATCAAGGACTCCTTGAGGAAGGCCTCCTGCTCGAGCACCTTCTGGCGCAGCTCCTGCAGCGTCCGCCAGAGCTCCGCGTACTCCTCGCGCCCCTCCGACTCAAAACGCTGCCGCAGTTCGTCGACGCTCACCTTCGTCTTTAGCTCCTCCTCCGCCTGCGCCATGGCCGTCGCGGACGAAATGCTCTCGCGCGGCGCCGCCGTCGTGTACCCCTCGGGCAGCCGGTGCCGCACGTTGGTTGCGTAATTCACCAGCAGACTGCTGGCCTCTTTGAGCTCCCCCAGCACCCCCCTCGCCTCGTTGCGCAGCCGCACATGCTGCACCTCCTCGGGAAACGTCGCCAGGAAGAGCGTGAGGTCCTCGTCGTCGTTGCCGAAAAAGCTGCTCAGCTCCCCAGAATCGTCCTCGCTGGCATCGTCGGCGACCGCGATCACCGGCCCCGCCGGCTTGCTCTTGGGCCTCCGCACGAAAGGTGGAATTCGCGCTCTTCCTGCACGCGCCGGGCCGCTGCTGCTCATGCTCGCATCCAGACTCTTCCTCGGCTTGCCGTCGTACAAGAAGCGGGGGACCTTCTTTGGGCGGTGCCGGACGGAGCCATCCTCCGCGTGTTCCAGCGACCACTGCGGCGAAAACCGCACGCCGGACTTCGCCTCCGCTTCGCTGCCGAACTCGCCGTTGTCGGCCCCAGCGGCACGCCGGAAGCTCTTGCCTCGCCGTCGTGGCTCGCGCGGGACATTCAGCAAGTCGATCAGGTCAGCTCCCTCCGCCGGCCGATCCGGAGAGCGGCGGGCACCTTCATCCTCCCCCTCCCCCTCGGCGGGGGCCCAGCCGCTCTTTGCGCCCGGCGGCGGCCGCCGCTGCCGCTGCTTCCACCACTCCGGCCCGTCGTACCGCTGCTCGCCGCCCTCACCCCCCGCGCCTGACGGGGGCGGAAGGCCGCTCCGCTCTCCCTCGGCGGACCCCGTGGACCCCCGGCCGCCGGGCGCCTGCGTCGCCTCGAGTGGGTCCATCTCGCTCGAGGCCGCTGTGTCGCCCCACCTCCCCCGCACGCGCCACCCGGCAGCGGCTGCGGGCGTCCCGCGTCCCGGACGGCCCCGCCCCGGGCCGAGCACAACCGCCTCCCCGGCGTCGGGGCCCCGCAGTGGCGGGAGGCGGGTGTAGGGGTCCGCAGAGCCGGCGCCGCCGGCCGCCGCCGTTGCGGCCCGCCGCTCCTCCCCCGTCATGGACTCCCGGAGCGGCCTCCGCTCCCCCTCGGACGCGGCCTCCCACAGGGCCTGCCGCTCCGCCCCCGCCACGGAGGCCCACGACGGCGCCTTCTCCCCCGATGACAAGGAGGGAAGTAGGCCACGCTGGCCCGCGTCGGGAAGAGCGACGAAAAACTCCCCCAGGGAGGGCTGGGAGGCGCTGTCGTGCAGCACGGGGCCGAGGTAACTGTTCGAAGCCGGGCGGTTCTCTACTCGCCCAGACACGCTAGCCGATTCACCGGATCGCTTGTCTGCTGTCGCCGCGCGCCGCCGCTCTCGCAACAGCGCCTTCGCCACGTCATGAAAGGAGGCATTCGCGCCTCCAGTGAGGCTCAGGCTCAGGCTGGGGCTGGCGGCGAGGCGTGCGGCATGCTGCCTCGCGGCATCCGACTCCAACAGGCGAGCCAATTCGTCGCGTATACTCTCCTCATCACCCTCTAGGATGCGGGCCACCTCTTCCGGTGTGACCACGCCACTCACCTGCAGTCGCCCCAGCTGATGCGCCAGCACACCCATGCTCGACAGATCTTTGTCCCCTGCAAACAGCAAAGACGCCAGGGACGCGAACTCCTGGGGCTGCTGGGGCGCATTGGTGAGCGCCGTCGCGTGCGCGGCGCCGCCAAAAGGGCGCTCGCCCTGGGGTACCAGCTCGTGCCTCGCGGCCCGCTCCGCGCCCCTCTCGTTCTCCATCCAACGCGTCATGAGGGCCTCGTACACGTCGGGCTCAAGCCCGAGTCCCCGTGCTGCGGCTAACATTCCCTCACGTGAACCCGCCAACTTCCACCATGTGGAGGCACGGACGCGTTTGCCAAAAAGCATCCGCGCCAACGTCTTGGCCCTACAGGCCTTTTTCCAGCCAGATCTCAGGGCGGCGTAAAGCCCTCGGTCGTGGTTGGGCACACCCACAAGGCGTCGCACAATGACGTCATCAGCCGCATCCACGCCCCCGGCCGCTGCTGCTGCCGCTGCTGCTGCACCACCGCCACCGCCGCTGCTTCCCGGCGCCGGGGGCAACTCTTCCGAGAGCGTCAACGCAAACTCCGGCGGGTGAACTGCCTTCCTGGGTCGAATATTCACCCTTCGGCCCATACCACGCCCGGTCAGCGCAGCGGGCTCCTCCATGTTGCCTTCCCCCTCGCCAGCAGAGTCCCGTGGCCGCTCCAGAAGCCCCCGCAGCGGGCCTCCCTGTGCCCCCTGGCGCATGCGCTCGAGCTCCTCCCCCGCAGTGGCATTGAGGGGGGCTGTCCGCGAGGCAGCGCCGCCGAGGCTCCGGATGCTAACCAGCGGCACTACGCTGCCGCCCTCGGCAGGCGCCGCGGCGCCGTCGTCGCAGGCCCCCGCGCGGCCCCCGTCCGTGTCGGGGGTCTTCGCGGCCGCCGCACTGGCACCTGGCGCCGCCGCCTTCGCCCCCTCCTCGCCGCCCCGCTGGCCGCGCTGGACGACGTCCTCCATCGCCGCCTCCCAGCGCGCCAACTCCGCCTCGGCCTGGCGAAGGCGCAGTTGCTGCTCAACCAAGAGACACGCACGTCGGATAGTCTCCGTTTTGATCTTCTCCTCGCGGTCCGATCGAGACCAAAAAACGGGCCCCGACGGCCGCCCTCCCTCCCCGCCGCTCGCACCAAAAGTGTCTGGCGCGGTGCCACGCCATGCCGCCGCATCCGCCCCGTACGCCGGGGCACGGGGATCTGCGAGGTGCGCCGCCGGCCGAAACTTCCCGGCGTTCGCTGAGGGTAGCCGCCCCGCGCTGTTCCTTACAACCTCCGCGTCCACGCACATCGGCAGCGCCGACTTGTGGCCGATGGGGAACCGCTCCATCGTGCTGACGGCGGCCCTGTCGAGCCCCCGCACGTTGGGCGGGCGACCCTGCGTTGTGCCTGCATCCTTTGCGTGGCGCATTCGTACCTTCTGCCGCACGCGGTGACCTGAGCACCACGAGCGACGAAACACCGAAGAGGGGGCGAAGCGGCACGCAGATGGCTGCAATAAAAAAGGGGGGCGCAGCAGGAAGGGGGGCAGAACACACATCGACCCCGTCTCTCGCTCTCTCCGTGCCCGTGCCGCGGCAGCTCCCCCACTCCTCTCCTTCCCCTGCCGCGCCGAGGGCGCGCCGCCCGCCCAGGCGCAGGTCTCGGCACGCCCCGCGCAAGTACACCCACGCACATGCGATCTCACGGCCGCCGCAAAAACCCGCAAGGCCACGAGAAACAAAAAACAAGAGAAAAATACTAGTCGCAGCTCCACCTTCAGCTAATTTCGGATGCAACGTGGGCGTGGGAAATGGTTCCCATCCCTCACGCCCGCCCGCCACCGAGGCAGCGCTGCTCCCGCAACACCGTACGAGGGCCCCCACCCGCAGAGACGCCCGGAGAGAGACAGCGACGCGGGAAACGGAGACACCCCAGAGCCCGCCGCCTCACGCCCGGGCGAGACTCAGCCCGCCGTCCACCTTCAACGTGGCGCCGGTGATGTACGCTGCGTCCTTCGATACGAGGAAGGCGACGGCGTCCGCGATTTCGGCGGCGGAGGCCTCGCGCTGGCCGAGCGGCACATTCCGGCGGTACTCCTCCCGCGTCGCCTGCGGCATTGCGGGGGGGAGAGGACCCAACCCCGGCGCCACCGCATTGACACGGATGTGGCGCGGCGCCAGCTCCAGCGCCGCCGCCCTCGTGAGCCCGTCGAGCGCGTGCTTCGCCATCGTGTAGGCAGAAAAGCCCGGCAGCGGGAGGTCGGCCATGGCGTCGCAGAGGTTCACCACCGACAGGTCGCGACCCTCCGACCCGCCCACTTCGGCCTGTCGGCGGGCAAACGCCCGGATCAAAAACAGCGGCGCGACGGCGTTTGAGCCCAACAGCTCGGCGACGCGCACATCAAACGGCTGGGCGCCCGCGGCGTCGCCCGTGTCGTCTCCGGGCAGCAGCGGGGTCGGGCAATACGCGGAGGCGTTGTTCACCAGCACGTCGCACCGACCAAAGGCGCGGAACGAGCAGTCGATGATGCCCTCGCAGCACTCGAGGAGAGGGCCGCCGAGGCCAAGGCCCCCCCCCGCACGCCGCGGCAGACTCGGCACGGGAGGCGTTGAGCTCCGCGACGAGACGCTGCGCCGCCGATTCGGAGTGGCGGTAGTGCACGACAACTCGAAACCCCCGCCGGTGCAGCCGCAGGGCGATGCTGCGGCCGACGCGCCGCGTCGCCCCGGTGACAACGGCCGCCGGACACGCCGCGGCTGCACCCGACACTCCAGCCATTCCCCCCTCTCGCGTTCCTTCCCGCGCCGCTTCCCTCCCTTTCCCTCCTCAAGCAGAAAAAGACGGCAGAAGGCGGTCACCAGAGGCGGCGGCGGAGTTATGCCCGGGGCGGGGCGGCAAAACGGGGCCCAACGCGCCAACACACACCGCAGGGCAACGCAACCGCGGCGGACAACACTCAACAACATTTTTCCGCGACAACACTCCGCGACTTTTTTCTCCGCTACACCACACACACGCACACACACAGTCTCACACTCCGAGCCTCCCTCGGTGGGCGTGGAAGGCGGCTTCACTCGCCGCCGCGCTGCTGCTGCTGCTGCCCCATGGCCCATCGCCTCACGCCCTCACGCCTCTGCTCCTCCTGGGAGCCCGAGAGCAGAAGGAGCCAGACTGGCACAACAACCATCACCGCCAGCGCCACAACGACGCTCACCTCACGCTCGGTCTGTCGCCATGCGTGCACGCCTGGCGTCTCCACGGGCCGCACACGGTTTGGCGCGTTGC